AAGAAAATATTACTGCCTACTTCCTTAACACATTTTCTTAATATTTCATATTGATATTTTGTTAAAGATGCGTCAAGAATTAAACCCAAGGCTTTTTTAGAGTCAATATACCTCATAGGATCAGATTGTTTTTCTTTTTTTATTTGTTCTGCCGCTGCGATTATCAATTCATCCGAAAAATCCTCTCGAAGTTTTTTTATTTTATTTTGCTTACTTCTTTTACACAAATCTTCTAAAGGGTTCTTCTCTGGGTGACCTCCGACAGACTTAAGGGATGACTCGTTTTCGGATTCATGATCAGATTCAGGAAAATTAACCAAAAACTCGCCCTGCAACCACTCACTATACTTCCGAAAAAAAATTCGTTTTACATGATGCACTTCTCTCAATTTTTTGGCAAAGTTGGGTTCAAATCTTTTTTTTATGGCTCCAGTTACCAGCAACAACCGCTCTCCTTGTAATTCTGGATACTGTTCCCTTAAACCTTGCTCTAAGGGGTACTCGCTGTTAAAGAGTAACTCGGCACACAACACTGTATGGTATCACAAATTGCGACATGTTTATTATCCAGCTAATAAGACAAATCCAACAACAATACTGATAAAGTTTCATATCAAAATTTATCTAAAATCCGTTTTCGGCATCCGCAAAAATGAAGAAAGTAGTTTTAATTTTTTTTCACACCGTTTATCTTTTATTTTAAATTTTTAACAAACTTGGCCGAATCTGGCGATAAAATTTATAGAATCACTACTTTAACAGTTGCTTTTTTTAGTCAAATTAATCCGAGACCAAAGCTTGGTAAAGCCTGATTAAAGTAAGAAGTAAAGTAATTTTATTAGAAATAGGTTCAACCTAAACTGCACCAATGGCACGGTATATTTTGGCAAAATGATTTTTACTTTTAATGCCCATGGATAAACCAAACAGTTCCTGGGTAATACCGATTTTTAGGAATTAAAAGAAGGGCTGTAAAATATTACTTGTTCTCGCTTTATTTTTGCGCGTTTCGTATATTAAGAAAATTGGCAAAAAGGAGGTGCTGTAAATTCAAAACTAGTAATTAAATTAAAAAAGTAATATTATTATATTGTCTTTGAACTAACTCGATGTAAGATGGGATAATTTAAACCCGATTTAACACCCTCTTTTTTGGTTTTTTTTTCCATTGCCGAAACCACTGTGCGCCGTCGCCCCGGAGCATGGAGCGTAGAATATCGATGAAATACATAATATATACTATAAAAAATATCTATTTTTTTTATTGTTTTTTTCATATTATACACTATTGTGAACTTAAAATATTCAGTTGAGGGTTGGAACCTTTGGTGTTACACAGCAAAATAAAAACACTAAATCACCACAATACACCAAACACTTTTACTTATACACTGGACGCGCGTTTCGCTAACCATGTTAGCATCATCAGCACATGATTATAAACTCAAGCGGCACGCTACACTGTCCGAGCTGGTTTTACTTAAGCTGTGGTTGAGGGTTGGAACCTTTGGTGTTACACAGCAAAATAAAAACACTAAATCACCACAATACACCAAAACACTTTTACTTATACACTGGACGCGCGTTTCGCTAACCATGTTAGCATCATCAGCAGATGATTATAAACCAGTTTATAAGATGATTATGATATTTTGAAAGATGATTATAAACCAATTTATAATCATCTGCTCATGATGCTAACATGGTTAGCGCGTCCAGTGTATAAGTAGAAGTGTTTTGGTGTATTGTGGTGATTTAGTGTTTTTATTTTGTTAAAATATTCCTTTATTAAATTTGATTGATAAAAAGTGAGAGATAAACATTTATTGACTGGTATGATTTTTTCCGTATTCTATTAAAACTATTTAAATATACTATAATATTTTTAAAAACTCGGAAAAGACATTTTAAAACTTCGAAAGATATCTGCTGAGTGAAAAAAGATCCACAATTTGAACTTTTATCGGATAATTATCAACGCTTCTAAATAGAGTTATTATGCCTCCAGTTGGTGACGTCACGAGATTTTTACGTCACAGCTGTCCGGCCTTGTTTTTACGGTGGTTACGGTCGGACCCATGTTGATATGAAAAAGAAATCTTATTTTTACGAGGAGATGGCACATGTTTTTTGAAACACCCTCTATTATCTGTCTGGCGTTAAAAAATAATTCTGGTCAGCCTTTTAATCAGAACAGCATTAGAAAGAAACCGCCAATTCTCTACGAAATAGAGAGGGCTATTAAGAATTAGGTCACATATCGCCCTCTAAGTCTTCCTCTAATAGGAAATTTCTACCTGGTAATTGAACTCCAACACCATCATCTCTATTATTATCTCTACGGAATTTGATGTACTGCTCTGCCGTGTCCTTTCGTTTCGATATAACCCATTTTCTTTTTCTAATGTCCACCTGGAAGTATTTTCCGTGAACATTTCCCGGGAAACAGCTTCCGCGTTCTGTTATTTTCCGATGTGCAATGAAAATTTTATTGCAGTTTCGAGATCGTAAACTTGCTTTCAGTCTGTTCGATTGTGTTGAATTGGTACAAGTTTGAGAAATGTTAAGTTAAAGTTAACTCTCTTTGTATTACAGTTGAGGGTTGGAACCTTTGGTGTTACACAGCAAAATAAAACACTAAATCACCACAATACACCAAAACACTTTTACTTTTACACTGGACGCGCGTTTCGCTAACCATATTAGCATCATCAGCAAATGATTATAAACTAAAGTACAACTACAAGTTGAGCGTTTATATACTCGCTCAGTGGGCACCGAGTGGGCCTGGCAAAATCTAGCCAACCGAGTCAGAGCCCATTGAGCGTAACAGTTAAATTTCCGCCACTAGAGTAGTAGAAACAAAGAACTTGAAGGAATTGGACCGTTATCTTTGTTCATACTATCTTTACATTTATTAATTCTGATCCTTTCATATGCATCTAATTGCCTGTAATTTGAGACTTGTTTAATTAATTTTAAATTATTAAGATCTATACAATGTTCTTTATCAACAATATGTTCAGCAACGCAAGATTTATCCGGTCTGCCATATCTTATCTGAGCTAAATGTTCTTTAAATCTAGTTAATATTGATCTTCTAGTTTGCCCAACATATTTCTAATTACAATCTTTACAAGAAACTTCATAAATACCCGACCTTTCCAGTGGAAGTGTTTTATCCTTTGGATTACCTAATAATTGTTGTAATTTATTATTAGCACTATACACAAGTTTATAATTGACATTCTTAAAAATTCCCTTTAGACCACGGGATAACTCTCTATCAAACGGTATTGAAAAATATTTAGACGTATCTTTCTCCACTTGAAAAGTCGAATTTTCAGAAATCATTAACCTATACCTACGTTTTCTAATTAATTTATCAACTAGTGAAGGAGAATATCCATTACACTCAGCTACATTCCTAATGTAATCTCTTTCTATTTCATATCTTTCGTTGGAAAGTGGGAAACTAAGTAATCTATGAACTAAGAAATTTAAACTAGCCATTTTATGTTCAACACTATGATGTGATTCATTAGGAATATATCTGCGTATGGTGGCATTTTTCCTAATACCAAACCAAAAAAATCCGTTTTTTCCAAAAAACTCAGTAGTCCTAAATTTTTAAAGTTTTTTTGATTGCATGCATTACTGTATAATGCTTGAAAATAATATTGTTATTGCTTTTTAATTCCATATTTTTCTTGATTAGTTTACCGTGTTATCCAGAAATCTCTATTAAATATAGACAACATAATAACACCGCTGCCATTACATTGTAAACAATTTCGCTACATCGTTTCCAGCTTTGTTGAATTAATGGCGAGTTTGCCTAGGCCCCGTTTACATTGCGGTCGGTAACTAATAGATTATTATTCGAAGTACACAACAACGATCTTTATTAAATGTGGATTAGGCTTAAGGGATAGAGTATCTGGTGGGACGAGTGAAGAACTAGTTAATTAGGGTATAATAACTTCCAGGGAGATATCTGGAATAATTTGAGATATTCCCTTGTCAACCGTTTAAATAATTTGCATAATTTTTATTTGGTAAAAGACCAATATACAGGGTGGTCCGAACTGTATTCCGGAAACTTCAGCAGCATATTCTGCAGATAATAATAAGTAAAAAAGTTCGTATAAATGTATGTTCTAAAATGCTTAGTTTCGGTGATACAGGGTGTTAAAATTTCATTTTTATTTCGATTTTTCCCGAATAATTTCTGAATTAACGTTATTATTTGGATGAAAATTGGTGTCTGGGAGTTTTTTGACATGAGAAATTTGATGTTGATGTCAATATGACTCTTACTTGTAGAGGGCGCCACCTACATATTTTTAACTGATTTGAAGAGTAATAACTTTTCGTCCGTACCTGTACAAAACAACCGAGTAAAAAAATATACATTAACGACATTTTTTACGTAAAAAAGGTCTCTTGGTAAAAATCGCTACCGAGTAATGGTTCTCGATATATTTGGAATCGAAATTATCAATACCTATCATTATTGACACAAATTAATCATGTTGACTAAATAGTTACTAGACTGAAATCATAAATTTGAAATATTTTTGTGCCAAAAATTCAACAGAAACTGTTTTATCATCAATTTTTCGGAGAAAAATTTATGATTAATTTAAAAAAATAAAAAGTCCCCAAATTTATTATTTTGTCAGTTTTATCCATAGAAGAAGCAAATTATAAGCTTATAAAACAATAAAATTTTCATTTCTAACCACAGTTTTTCTTGGCAGATCTTAAATAGAGGCCAGAATGAGTTATTACTCAAGACTCATTTTCTTTCTTTTTTTTTCTCACATGACTCAATTTTGAGTCTCTTAATGAAGCCATATACTAGCATATACTACAGCAATGATTAATACTATTTCTATTTATACTAAAATTACGTAAATATAGAAAAAAACATCATATTTTTATTAAATACATAATATGGACACAAACCTATTAATGGAATATTTTAATTGTTTCAGGAATTAGAAGAAATATATTCAGATCTTTGTTCGACAGTTACGGACGCTATTATACAGGGTGCTGAAATAATTTCAACTAGAGTAAGTATATTATTAATCAATAAATACACTTAGAAAGCTACAATTTTTAAAACTATATTTTAAATATTAAAAGTAGGGTAATTTTTTACTAAAATAAAATAGTAAAATCCACAGATTATAACATAAAATTAAATAAATTAAAGATAATAATATTAAAGTAAATAAAAGATATAAGGTATACCAAACAGTTAAAAGAAAATTGATTTTTTACATTTTAGAATATATTATTGTTCTAAACGCGTACTTTACAAAACTGTTTTTATAAATTACAATTTACAATTTCTGTCCCTGAGACATTCCTTGGTAAAATGTTATAAGATGGAAAGTATGGATTGTTTTCTATATTTTTTAAATTAGTCAAGATTTATTAGAGATATCATTCAACGGTTTGTGTAGTAGATTTTACGTAAAATTTGGTAAAATTTGCTTCATCCCCCTTTAAATTTTTCTCTTTGACAAAAGCCAATGTTTGAGACGGTTTTCCAGAGGTTAGTTTTCCATCTCCAATATCAGTCGTAAAAATTATGACACAAATGGTTGTCGTCTCGGCACACTCATGAGATGCTCTGGTGTTTCTCCATTGCTTCCGTCTTCCAGGTTCTTGAGTTCCGCTTTAAGTTGATTTCCATTTGGAAAGCAGAAGGTTATGGTTTAGTTAGTGGAGTGTTCGCTCTTTTTCTAGCCAGATCGTTGTCTTTTTCATTACCTTCTATCCCTTGGTGGGCCGGCACACTGAGTAGGACTTTATTTTTTTTGCCTAATTTTTTTCCCTTATATCAGAGTTTAATTTTAATCCATTAATAATTTTTGAAACATTTAAAGCTTGAAAATAACTTTTTTGTTAATTCCATGCCTTCTTGATGACTTGTCTTACGACAAAAACACACTTTAAACTCTCTGTTTCGTTTCCTTTAATTAAAAACTTTCTTACGCACAAAGTATTTCGGATAATTGGCGCTCAGAACAAGTGGAAAATTGTTACCAATTAAATCGCTGCCAACTGCAAAAACGTTAAAAATATCAAGGGATATTTCGAGTTCTTTTTCCTCCTTTTTTTTTAATTTCTAATTATAAAAAAGTAAATTAATTGGCTGATTGTTATAATTAAGGAAAAGGAAGAATATGGAATTACACTGCTCTAGAGAAACAATTTCTTTTCTCGAGCCCTGACAGCATATCCTGCTGATTCCTACGTGAAATGACCTCTTGAATCTAGATGTTGCTCCTGCTTTTTTTCTATCGCCTACTATTATTGAGGGAGACCCCCTTCCTACTTTTATTGTATTTCTATCACTTTTCGATAATAATAATAATAATTTTATGGACATGAATTTTATTTGGAGGGTTGAAAATAATTATTTTAGCTGTAAACAATAATAACTGTCTCGTCTCAAAAACCGGCACATCTTTACCAAAAATGTTTTCTTTTTTTTCTTTCTTTCTTTTTTTCCCTTCATTTTTTTTCTCCTTTTTTTTCTTTTTTTTTTGTCTTGACATAACATAATCATCACTTTTGAAGGCTTATTTTTCTTACACTTGTTTTGGAATTCAAACTAAGCTTGTTTTTATTTTTGATTCAGTGGTTCAATAAACATTGCATTTTGGAAAAGCTGAATAATCTGGGGACCCATAAACTATGTTTTCGAGCTATGTTTGTACAACTGAGGTTCAATGATTATTATTAAACGAACGCTTTGCGTATTTACAAATTAAATACTCCGTAAATTAAATATTGTAGTAAAATTTTATATTTTGTTTAAATTTCACTAAATATGGTGCTCTATTTGATAAAATCACGTTATATACAGGGTAAGTCTTAAATAAGTGCAAATATTTTCAGGGCTGGTAGATCTCGATAAAAGAAACAAATTTTCAAAAAAAAATTTTCGCGGAAAAACCTCATAGACGTGTTTCTGGGGTCGAAATATACTATCACTGAAAATATTTGCACTTATTTAAGGCTCTTTCTGTATAGACGGGGCTTTCTAGTTGTCTATGCTAACTACTGTGTTCTTTGCAGGCTTTAGAACAAACCAAACGCTACGACACTCTGGCCAATCAGTGTCGTTCCGTCGTAGGACATTCGGACCTAATTCACTTGGCGCGGTCCCTTCCGGTACCCCAGGGTCGGGGGCTCATCATCAAACGGATATTTGTGCCCCCTCAACCACCCCCACCACCCGAAGGACTAGAGGGTGACATTGCCAATGGACATATCAACAACGTAAGTATTCTTTTTCCGTCGAACTCTTCATACTTATTACTCTTTCTTACTTCATCATAATCATCATCATTTTCAGCTTATTCAACCATTTCTAATTATGGTGTAGCCTCCCTAACATACATACATACTGCCATTACTCGCTGACGAGTATTTGACACGCATCAGAAGAAGGTCACGCAAGGCGTTTCCTTTCATGAGCTTTTCTGTGACTGAAAAGCCCCGATACATGATGTTGTCTATCCGGACATTCAAAAATATCATTGCTTTGTTGCCTTTTTACTGTTACCCCTCACATAGTTGTAGTTGGGCTCACTGTTGTCTATTGTTGTCTATGCGGGCCCAAGTTATCCCTGCTAATTTCCTAATATCATGATCCCATCTCAGGTTCGGTCTTCTTCAAGGTCTCTTAGTTCCTCGTGGGTACCATGCTGTAATTTTTGTGGTCCATCTGTTGTCCGTTCTTCTTGCCAGGTGTCCTGCCCATTTCCATTTGAGGGATTTGACTCTGTGGATGACATGTCAACTCTTCATTTTACGGTCTCTCTTGGTTATTCCCAGCATATTTCATTCCATTGAACGTTGTGCGACTTGCAGTTTCCTTATGATGCCCGTTTTAAGTGTCCAGGTTTCGCATGAATAGGTCATGACTGGTAGTACCCATTGGTCGACTGTTTTCTTCTATAAATAGAGTGCCATTCTAGATTTGAATTTGATTGAGTTTTGTCCATAAGTACTCCATGCTAATTTAATTCTTCTCTGGATTTCTGTTAGTAGAGATCCCGATCTGTGTATTAGTTATCTATTATTATTCTTCTACTATTTCCAGTGTTGTGTTATTTATTAGAATGTCTTTTCTTTCCACTAGTTTGTTGTACAATACTTTAGTTTTTGCTAAGTTCATTTTGAGACCCACTTTATTGCTGGCTGTAGTTAGTTCATTAATTTTTGCTTTTAGTTCTCAGGACTATTGGCAATTAGAACTATGTCATCAGCGCATCTTCTCCATCTATTTTCAATCCTTTGTGGGTCCAGTCTGCTGTAAAGAGCTTTGGGGATATCGCGTCTCCCTATCGTACTACTTTGCCAGTTGGGAACTTTGGGGTTGTTTTATACTAAGGGCTGGCAAAGGTTAGTCTTGGGTCGAGATTTCCGTATGTAAAAAGAGTAAAATGGCGTTTATAATGTACCGAACAAAGAGAGGACAGTAAACACGTTGCCAAACGTATGAAATAAACCGAGAAACTGTGCACATCGCTAAGAGACGTGGAAGGGGATATAGCAGATTTGTCGCAGTTGACCGGTCGACCCAATCAATACCTCTGTCAGTACTTAAAGTTCTAGGAAAAGGTGTACGTCATGCGTTCAGCTTCACGATTTAATTACGTCTCGTGATACTTAATTTGTTTATTTATTAACGAGTCGTTGTAATTTTCCCTATAGCTTGAATTTTTTTAAGTGCAAGCTAGAAACACTTGCATTTTTGGTAAAAATAAGTGGAATTGAGTGGGTGTTCGATAGTGGTCGCGCTATTAGAACTCTGAATTCAAAAATTGATATCTCGAAATCTATTAGAAATAATAGATTGTAGTTTTTTCAAAAACTTTGTTAATATTTCTGCTGTATTTTCTTTGTAGACAGTATGTGAAAATCTTTATCTATAAAAAAATTACACGATTGCTGAAAATTGCTATGCTCTAAAAGTAAATAGATGGATTGTTTACAATTTTTGAATGGAAAAAACAACCTTATCGAATTTTTCTTATGTAAACATATTGTAAAATATCCGATCTTGAAAATAAAAAAAAAGTTTCAATATCTAAAGTGGTTCTTGAGTTATAGCCTGTTATGTGTTAAAGAGTTGAGTTTTTAAATTATCGCGATTAGTGACGTTTTCTCGTTATAAAAAAAATGACACCGTAACGATATCCTTATAATTCCATTTCAGATGCTCAGAAACATGTTTAATGATTTTATCTAGTTATCTCTTGAAAAAAAAAGTCTTTTAAAAATAAGCGGTTTGCGATCGTGATTTTACTTTACTTGATAGGGAAAGGCGTATCGGCAACGCCGCAACAGCACACCGTCGCGTGTCGCGTCAGTCGGTCGCATTTCTCTCACTCCGACTTAATAAGATCCCTATGCGATTTACTTCCACACAAGTAAATGTCGACCCAAAAGTAACAGTTGCCAGCACGGTATATCATTACTCTTGACGATGATTACGAGATAACTCTTTCTTACTTACTTATTATTATTTCTTACGCTGTTGATTGGATTATTTCAAAAAGGTCCGTTAACACGAACCTAAACTAGTCTAACAAATTGGATTACACAAGAGCGAAAACTTCCATCTAAATCCCCGGTTTCTCAAAATAATAATCCCAGAATCCAGTTTCAATCTTTTGCGACTACTAAGAATCCATTTACACACTTCGTAAACTCCATTAACCCTTCTCTTATCTTTGTGGGACATCGTTCAAGCCGTCAAAGGGCTCGCTCGCAATACAGGGACTGTTTCCAGATAGACTGAGAGAATATTGCGCAATCGCATTTATCTTGTAAGGAAAATTAGGTTCAAATTATCACGTCGGTTAACTACAAGCATATGCATATCGTCAAGTTAATTTTGTAAACCTAAATAATATTCAAAACGCATATTTAACATATATTAAACATAGGTTATAAGATATTTATTATCATATAGCTAATAGTAATATATACATACAACTATATTAAATTTATTATCATATACACGGTTTTTTGGAGCAACTGATTTATTTTTTCCATTAGTTATTCGGGATTTAAACGGAAGTAGTTTGGATATGTCGTGTTTGTCGCATCAGTCTGAACACGTTTTGGTAATTTACTTATTTCGTTTGAGCCATTTCTGGCTCTAATTCAATTAGCAATCGACACGAAAGAGCATTAAAAAATATTGACTCAAAACTGACAACTAAAGAGTCAGCTTTATTTATTTGTCAAATTACATAGAAACCAACGCCAACCCAGCAATAAAAATATGATTTTAAAAGACAGTGACAATAGTTGCACAATAATCACAATGAAGTACAAGCACGTGATATTTTATTATATTATTTTATAGGTCTGCTACTAGAACCAAGACAAAATAGCAAATAGCTATGCTCTAGAACTGATATATTTTTTCTCAAACAAAAATATAAAATTATCCAGCTCTTTATTCCCCTGCAGGACAACATCCCTCCACCGCTCAAGGACGAGCTGGTCATCGACCAGCTGTCCGCCGTCCAGATCAAGCCGTCTCACGACGCTCTCAGGAAGGAATCGGACGACCTCAAAGGACAGATCAGGCAGATCCAGGACGCGCTGGACACGCTGCTCAGGATCCAGCAGCGGTCGGTGGACGCGTCGCTGTACAACAAGGCCAACGAGCTGCAGGAGGATATTTCGATGAAGAGGTTCGACTTGAAGGTGGCGCAGATACATCTGAGGGCCATCAATTCACAGGTGAGAGACGTTAGGCATTGGTTTAATAGAAATCAAAAAAGTTTTCCTCTTTGGAGAATTCAACATGATGTATGGTTATACTAAATGCACCTAATACCAGATTTTTTCACTGCAATTTTTGATAAACTGTCTATTAGAATATTTATACAATGCAATATAGACATTTTTTCCAGTTTTAAGCTGATAGGTTTCTGATAGTATGATGATCTGCGATAAAGACTCTAAAACTTGACATATTGCATCTTCAGAACGAAAGTGACATAACTCAGAAGTTCATGATTTTCATTTTTTGTGGCAAAACTACATACATAACTAAACGTCCTTTATCGATTATATTATTATACAGGGTGGCCCGGAAATTTTGACAGCATATTCTGCACATAAAAATAAGTAAAAAAGTTCGTGTAAATGTATGTCCTAAAATGCTTAGTTTCGGAGATACAGGGTGTAAAATTTCTTTTTTTATTTCGATTTTTTCCAAATAATTCCTGAAGTAACGTCAGTATTTGGATGAAAATTGGTATCTGAAGTTTTTTGAAATAAGAAATTTGATGTTAATGTAAATATGATTCCTACTTACAGAGGGCGCCACATACATATTTTTTAACTGGTTTGAAGAGTAATAAGTTTTCGTCCGTACCTGTATAAAACTATTGAGTAAAAAGTATACATTTAGACATTTTTAGGTAAGAAAGGTCTCTTGGTAAAAATCGCTACGAGCAATCGTTCTCAAGATATTTAGAATGTAAATAGTCAATACATTATTGACAAAAAAATAAATATGTTGAGTAGATAGTTATTTGATTGAAATGATCAATTTGAGAATTTTTTTTTATTTTTTAAAATTAATCATAATGTTTTTTTTCGAAAAAATGATGATGGAACAGTTCTGTTGAATTTTTGATACAAAAACAGTATTGATAATTTAGATTCCAAATATCTCAAAAACCCTTACACGAAACGATATTTACCAAGAGATCTTTTTTCCGTAAAAAACGTTGTGAATGTATATTTTTTTACTCAGTAGTTTTATATACCGGGTGGCCTATCGAAAACGTTCCGCAAGGCATAACGGCTAAGGTATTCTTTTTTTCAAAAAATCCAAAAACACGCCAATTTTGTTTGTGAGGAGGACAACTTTTGCCCCAAAAATTATTGTAAAATTTTCAACCCTCTCAGCGGGGGTGTCACCGCGAAATTTTGCTACTAACTCGCGAACAATTTTGCCATAAAGGTGTTTGTCAGGATGGTTTGGTCATGCCACATTCATTATTTTTAAAATAAAGTTAGATTATTTCCACTTTTTCTGCAAGTGACTACACCATAATAATTGTTAAACAGTTTAACGATATTGAGAAGAAGTTCAACGCATAAGTCACAGAACAGCTATCTAGCAACTACCGAACCTGATCATTCAACCTTGTGGCAAGTGAAAAAATGCGTAAACATCTAGAAATAATAAGAAAAAACAGCAAATTGGTCGAAGGAATTTACCCTTATCATTTACTCTGATAAATGTTTAAATAAACTTTTCAAATTTAAATCCTTTATAATTTCTCAATGACTCGACCGATTTTCAAAAACGAAGCCGGAGAATATAGAGAATAGAAAGCCCTTTTCATTGCGGTACCACTTGACCCCCTTTCCCTTTGAAAAAAATTGGGGGATGACACCCCCGCTTAGAGGGTTGAAGATTTTGCAATCATTTTTGGGGCAAAAGTTGTCCTCCTCACAAACAAAATTGACGTGTTTTTGAATTTTCTGAAAAAAAATTGCCCTGGCCGTAATGCCTTGCGGAACGTTTTCGATGGGCCACTCTGTAAGTAGGGACGAAAAGTTATTACTCTTCAAACTAGTTAAAAAATTTGTAGGTGGCGCGGATATTGATATTTAAATCAAATTTCCTATATCAAAAACTCCTGAAGACTAATTTTTCGGACCACCCTGTATATAATTTAATTATAGATTTCTAGATTGCTGAGAATAAATTACTCGTTTTCCCATACTAAAATATAGATTGCATGTCTTTTTGTAGATCGTATTCTACACAATTTACTAGATTGAATATGAAATATAAATGAATATGAAACCCTTTGAGGATATCAAAATGGTACTAGACGTCTGCAATAGTCGTTTATTTTATTTATTCATATATTCTACAATGACTTTGACCTACTAACCTAGTTTTGTTACCTGTATTACAAGCAGTAAGATTAATTGTCCTGGAATCACAATAATTGTTTTCAATCAAATTATTAAAGGCTGTTATTTTATTTGGTATTCCTGAATTCTAATTTTTATATTTATGCAGTTATACAATACGGCTGTATAAATTTTCGATACAAAGCATTTTGTAATAAATCTGCATATTGTAAATATTTGATAAGGTAAATAGGAATAAATATGCGATGCTCTGACGGTCTCTAAACATATTTCCTGAAACGGAATTGCATGCTAAACCCTGCTTTCCGCTCTTTAAGACAATCCAGAGACAAAGTTCCATAAATTTATATTCAGATATTTCGTTTCAGTTTTAAAATATTTCGTGTTCTTGTTTGACAATAATTCTCGTGTTGTAGGTATTTCAATATGAAAACTATTCCTTGACTCATGATATTGTAGTATTATAGAGCTTGTTTCTCTCTACAATTTCCTGTTTCACAATATACCGTTTGTGTCCGGGAAGGGTTCATAGTTTCATAGTTGTCGATTTTCGAAAGAAATCAGTACATGTATATTATTTCGTATATTTTTCATTTTATTCATTTTATGGAAAGAACTGTTCATTAAAATGTTGTATCCTATGTTATAGGGCTTGTTTCTCTCTACAATTTTCTGTCTCACAATGTACCACTTGTGTCGGGGAAGGGTTCATAGTTTCATAGTTGTCGATTTTCGAAAGAAATCAGTACATGTATATTATTTCGTATATTTTTCATTTTATTGATTTTATGGAAAGCACTGTATTCATTAAAATGTTGTATCCTATGTTATAGGGCTTGTTTCTCTCTACAATTTCCTGTCTCACAATGTACCGTTTGTGTCGGGGAAGGGGATCATAATAGTTTCATAGTTGTCGATTTTCAGAAAGAAATAAGTACATGTATATTATTTCGTATATTTTTTCATTTTATTGATTTTATGGAAAGAACTGTTCATTAAAAATGTTGTATCCTATGTTATAGGGCTTGTTTCTCTCTACAATTTCCTGTCTCACAATGTACCGTTTGTGTCCAGGAAGGGTTCATATTTTCATAGATGTCGATTTTCGAAAGAAATCAGAACATGTATATTATTTCGTATATTTTTCATTTTATTGATTTTATGGAAAGCACTGTTCATTAAAATGTTGTATCCTATGTTATAGGGCTTGTTTCTCTCTACAATTTCCTGTCTCACAATGTACCGTTTCTGTCCAGGAAGGGTTCATATTTTCATAGATGTCGATTTTCGAAAGAAATCTGTACATTTATTTTATTTCGTATATTTTTTATTTTATTGGTTTTATGGAAAGCACTGTTCATTAAAATGTTGCATCCTATGTTATAGGGCTTGTTTCTCTCTACAATTTCCTGTCTCACAATATACCGTTTGTGTCCGGGAAGGGTTAATAGTTTCATAGTTGTCGATTTTCCAAAGAAATCAGTACATGTATATTATTTGGTATATTTTTCATTTTATTGATTTTATAGAAAGAACTGTTCATTAAAATGTTGTATCCTATGTTATAGGGCTTGTTTCTTTCTACAATTTCCTGTTTCACAATGTACCGTTTGTGTCCGGGAAGGGTTCATAGTTTTATGGTTGACATTTCTTTCATTACATATCTACCAGCCCTGCCAATATTTGCACTTACTTAAGACTCACCCTGTACTGTAATATCGATAAAGCCAACTCAATGTAGAAATTAATAAATGTCACTCAATTTCGACATCAATTTGCTATACCCAAAACAGATATAATTAAACAGCTTCTGTACTAAACCAGATATTACGAGTTCATCGTCAGTATAATGCACTTGTAAATAATCTCTTCAAACGTTCAATACCCTTCTATGCATCCTCTATACCCCTCGTTTAATCTAAATTTAATCGATATCCGACAACAAAAGAGAAAAAAAGCCCATTCAATTAACCCCACCTCTCTATTGAAGCTAAATCGGACCAGGACCTGCACAACGAAGCGAACCGTCAAATGGATCACTCTAGAGCACGCGACTTTGGATCAATTTTAATTACCAGTAAATCCTGTATTATTCTCGGGTTAACTTCTGAAACAGGCTCATTGATGATTATGAGAGATTGAGCAGGTTCTATCAATTAATTGACGTAAATTAAAATTATGCGTATTTTACAAAAAGATGCCAATCGTAGCTGACAGTATTATGATAAAAAATTATCTTTCTAAGAATTATTTGTTGGATATGTTAGTTAGCTAGTTTTAACACTAACTGACAGCTTTGCAAGCTAAATAAAAGCGATTCTTGCAAAAAAGCGAGTAACTAGCAGCTGGTTTGCAATCTAACTGGTGAGTATTCAAACTATCAACAAAATCTGGTTAAAATAGGGATTTTATGTTAGTTTGCAAAATTTCTGCTAGTTTAGATATTACGATTATACAGGGTAGTCCGAATTATATTCCGGAAATTTCGGCAGCATATTATATATCTATAAAATCGAAATAAAAATGAAACTTCTACTCCCTGTATCTCCGAAACTCAGCATTTTAGAACATACATTTAAACGAACTCTTTTACTTATTTTTTTCTGTAGAATATGCTGCCGAAGTTTCCGGAATACAGTTCGGATAACCGTGTATAGGTGGATTCTTTCAAAATAACAGCAGCTTTTGTTAGTTTGTAAAACTCGCCAAATATCTATTTTAGTCGTAACAAATATAAAATAAAAATTATTAAAAAATCTAACTGATAAGAAAATGCGTATCATGATTAGAAATATTATGAATCAAGAATTTTCTAAAATAATTTTGTTTCAATATTA